TTCAGATTAAGAATGCTTGGACAAGATCACTCTGAAGAGCAGCATGGTGCAAAGTGCAGGTTTCTGGAGCTGTGCAGAACAGCATGTCAGGTATGGTAATTACTGAGTGCTGAGGGCGTGGGCATTGCTCTCCAGGTTTCTTCAGCTAACACACCTCCAGTGGCTGCTACAGAGCAGGAGAACACTCTTGGTATTCCTCATACGATCCTACAGCCTTGCTAATTTCAGCACAATTAACCAGCCTCCTGAGAGAAGGCCACAAAACCAGGACTTCATGTCACACTAGAACCCAAGCTAGTGGTGTTAAAGGAAATAAGTCTTGAAAAGTGCTCAAATCTGCTGAGCAGGGTTGTTTCATAACATGAGAGATCACAATTTGATCTGCTTTTCAAAAAGACTACAAGAAGACACAAATGGAAACTACACTGAAGGAGCAATTGTTAATATATTTACCAAACTTTCCAAACTTTGTTCCTTCGGAGGCATAGAAAATTAAATTTATTTAATTAAAATTAATGTTATTTTTATTGCAGAAGGATTTGCCCTTACTGTATCAGTTACAGCAGAATGTAACACTGGAAATGGATATATACCAAAACAGAACTAAGACAGCTAGAAATAAGAGTATTTAGAATAATGTGATCTACAAGACAAAAAAGATATTGTGATTTTTATCTATAAATTTATCAAAAAATTAGAAACCATATTGAAATTCTAGTCACAATCATCCAACCTCCTAATGCAGGAGAACCTGTTCTGTAGAGACCCGCGGCCTTGAAGCTCCGTGGTCTGCAGGCTGAGCCAAAAAGCAAAGGTGGTTCCCCAGTGCCGCCCTGTGTTGAAAATACAGAACTACACGGGAGAGCCCTTGACGTCAGGTCATGGTCCAGGAAACAGCGTGTGCTCGGGTAACGAGCAAAACAGCAGCAAAACAACCTCTGTCGCTGCTGCGCATGCACTGTGAAGTGTGGGTTTGTGTTTTTAATCACAGGTCCGTTACTAAGACATACACTGCGAAAGACTTTCATCGCTCTGATGAATAACAAAAAGAGACATCGATCATACGGTAGAATAATATTTACATGCAATCCCAGTAAACAAGGTAAAATGGCCATAGGTTTAGCTAAACAATAAGTAAAAAAAACAAAAAAACCCCAAAAAAACCAAAAACAAAACACCAAAAAACAAGTAATATTTGGCAGCAAATCGTCCAGGTAGTATTTGTCATCACTAATTTATTACTCAAAAGGAAGAGTATGTAAATGCTGTATTTGATGTACCCAGTAGCAATTGTAGTGCCAGATATGCTTGTGCCAGATAAGGATTTTGGCCAGCAACAGTTTGCATACATACAAATAGCAGGTTAGTGATAGCTGATTCAGGGCAGGCCAGAATCTCACCTTAAACTGTAATGCATCTATACATTTCCTGTTCAAAACTTGTACTGTAACAAGAAACTAAAATTGTGTACATTCATAGTAATGTTGAGAAAAGATATCTTAAGTTTTTCATAATCTCTGCATAATTGTTGTTCGCATTTCTGCTTATAGTCAGAATTATAAATATAGTTCACTACCTTAATTAACACCTCTAATATGATGCACCTGGTATGTCTGTACTAGGACACATGTTCTGACTGCCTGTGATCAGTCTGTTAGGGCAAGAGAGGTGCAAATATGTAAACATGTATGGTGTACATACAACAGGAGCCTTGTAAGCACTTCCCCTGTCAAAGTTCTAAAGCAGTTTCCCTGAGCTTAACAAGAAGGAAATATTTTCTCTAGCCAGTCATATAAAACTATCATTAATTGCCACTGAGCTGAGTAAAGAATACAATTTTTTAATATCTTTAGAATACTGATTAACAACAATGTACACAGCACAGAATATTTCAAACTTCATAGTGCAAAGTACACATCTTTTATTACATTCTGGAACTGATCCCAGAGTAGCTCTTCACAAAGTTATTTTCTCTGTGGTAAAGCAGCACTGAGAGTGTTCTCACACCTGCTGTCACAAAGCGTTTGCAAGACCATAGAAGTGTGTGGTGTGTGTCTTTTCCTACACTGCACTTTCCTTTGCAGTAATGGCAGAGCAGAGATATCAACAGCTGCTTTGCACCTCCATGAAATCCCATTTATATAGGAGAGAAAGCAACATTTAGGTCAGCTGTGAACTAACCCGTAGTTTTCTGATCAAGGCAAAGTGTGTCATTTTCACACCATTGAATTGAGGTTTTTGTAAAACATTGGTACAAATCCTGCAAATACTACCTTGATTCAAGGCTGAAGAAGTCAGGGGTTCGGACTAGTAACTTCCTCCCCTCAGCATTAGCAGGAAACAAGGTTATAACACCAGTCCCAGCATCTCAGCAGACACATGATACTGGGAAATCATTACTGCACAGTCACTTGCTAGATAAACATCCAGGGGATCCTCCCGAAGACAAAATTTAAAGAGGATTTTCAAAGTCTTTTTGGCACAGCTGTTGATATAACTCATGTGTTGTGGGTTTGCCATGCCTTGGCTGCATGGAGGGGTGGATGCACTTTGTGCAGAGGCTCTGACCCAAAGACTCTCAGAATCTTGAAGTGAAATTCTGATTCTCAGAATAAATATGCAATTATAATTTATAAATATCAATTCTAATTTACATTTGGTGGTGCAAACACAGCTGTTTGAAAATGCTCAGTAGTGGTGCAAATTACAGAGCGTCCAGCAGAGGGAAGCTCATGCATGCATTCAAAGTGAAATAAATCATTTGAAGGTCGAGTGAAACACACACCTGATATTTTAGCCAAAGCAAATTCTATTCAAAGTGGTTTGTAGCAGTAACACAGAATTCTTGAGCTTGGAAATTTTTCAGAAGTTATTTGCCAATCTAAAGGTGACAGACTTACAGGAACTTTCCTGTGTTGGTGGCCGAGTTGTTGCACTACATGTAATATGCATGCACACAAAAAACTTCAGGTTGTTTTTTTTTAAGCACACAGATGCAGCCTAATTTCACTCCTGTTGATGAATTAGACCAGAGCGTCTTGGTCTGAAGTCCAGATTCGCGGTTCCATTCGTTAAAGCCCCACCCATGTTTGGTCACCAGTGAGTAAGATCCTGAGTTGTTCAGCCACTGTTGTGTTTTGTGTGTGATTGAATATACTGTGTTGCTCCCCCTATTAATGGAAACATTTGCTAAATTTTCCATAAAGTTCGTGTACTACTAATGTAAATTTGATGACAGTCAGACACTTTTACAGAACATTGAAGACTGCTGACAGTCTGCAGTTTTTATAGTGAGCCAGGAGTCACACAGAGCTCTTCAGAAACATGCTCCCTAGCTAACATTAACTCTAAGGTCTGTGATATTTAGTCTAATAGCCTGTCTTCAGAGTCTTATTCAAGCAAATCTTAGTATTTCAATACTTCTCTGGGATCTTTTTAGAAACAGAAATCCCAGTTCAGAGATTCATTTGTTTTCTTGTTCAAATGAAAGACACAGCCAGAGGCAGAGGCCATCTGGCAAGCAAACTTCAGCTGAAGTGGAGAAACATGTTTGGGAAAACTGTAAGGACAGATGCTTTGGAAGTTCAACCACACACCACTGGATTAGAACTATACTAATACCAATGGTTGTACAGACAACTGCTCTTTTCCAACAAAAGATGGACTTAAAGAACCTGCCAGTCCCTGTAGCACTGTGTGACAAAAAGTACTAGGCATCTCTCTTTGTTATTTTTTTTTCCAATAAAAATCTGCATCTTAGTTTAATCTAGATAACCCACTGGCAATAAATTAAGAAATAAACCTTATGAAGTTACTTCTGGAGAAATAATGTGTATAAAGGTGATTTCATTAGAAGAAGCAACATTGCCCAGAACTTCCTCCCATTTTCACAAGTGGTTTTCAGAAATTCCCTTTAGAATACAAACAACTTGGTTGGGATTTTCCCCTACCCAATCTTTATTAAATGTAGTTAAAAATGAAAGGAACTGGAATCATGTATCAGATTAAATCCAAATTAAAATTTATTACACAAATAGTATTTTGAAGATATAATACTTCAGTGGAGTTATTCTGGATTTGCTTTTGATCTCATTATACACTTACGAGATCAAAACCAGCTAAGCTGATTTGGGGGTGATGATGTTGCAATCCTTTTTACATGGTGAAAAATACTTTTCAACTTGATATTATGCACTACATTTGCCAGGTTTGTAAAATTAGGGAAATAATCTGTATCACATTCTTAAATTTAGAAAACCTATGCATAACTCCTTTGTTTCTGTGATTCTTTTTTCATGGCAAATACCCTTCCAGTTTCACTTCTATGACTCTTGAACATTTCTCTTGTGCTGCTGTTTTAGTTCCTCCTTTAACATTTTAGAATTTAACTTCAAAAGAAGATGTTTTGAGATCAGGATAACAAAATAGTTTCATATTCTTTGGCCAGACTCTGAAGAATTTGGGATACATTCAGGAGGACAACATAGTCATATATTTTCTCTCTGACATGGAGCATTTCCTCCTGTGAGCCTGTATCCAGACTGGAAATCCTCATGGTTATTGTTTGGCTAAAGAATGGCAATTTCCCAGAGAATTCAAGATACAGGTCCAACCCACTTTATTGTACCAAGACAGTCTCACTATAGGGCAAATGTTGATTTCCTCTATGCCAGTGTATTTCTAAATTGTGGTTGACTGTTTTCTGCTGAATTAAAAGAGGTGACAGGAAGACAGTAAGCACAACTTTTTATGCTTTGAAACAGAAATTCCTGTCAAACATATAATGCACATTTGTAGTTTATCTGCCACCCCTCTTATTTTTTTTGTTTCTATAAAATAAAATGTTGAGTTAACTCATGTGAGCAAGCTCACAGCTGTTGATTAGATCAGTAACTTCAACAAAGTAGTGAGTTTCTTTAAATAAGGACAGCTTAGAAAGACCACCAACAGGCTTCAAAATCTGCTAAAGCATGATGGATGTAAAACTGAAAGCAAAGTCAGATGCTGCACTGTATTTTTATTTTTGCTTTGTGTGCAAAAATGCACATCTTCCTAAACAACAGGAACTGCCCTATGTGGTCAGATGTGTGTAAGAGCGAGCATTAGGATAGGAGATCATAGGCCACACTACCCTACAGAGCAGCAGTTAGAGAACTTGCTCTCCAGTAGCTCACTAACACCTTCAGAATAAAAGCAGGGCCCAGAGCAACCAAGAACTGAAGAATTTCCAGAATGAGTCAAGCTGAGGAAAGCAGTGTCCACTCAACATGGAATATTGTGAGGTCAGTAGTCTGCATAATACTGAGCTTGTCATTTATTATTGGGACCCCCGGAAACTGCATCGTCATCTGGACTGTTTGTAGAAAAATGAAGCAAGTGTCTCTTTCAGTGCTGCTGATCTTGAACCTGGCCATTGCTGATGTCCTCGTGCTGATCACTTTACCAATCTGGATTTACTCCTTTGCTGACTCATGGGTTTTTGGAGTCATCTTCTGCAAAATACTGGTTTTCATTATTTACTGCAGCATGTATGCAAGTATATTTCTAATTACAGCACTGAGCTTGGAGAGGTTAGTGGCTGTGTTTTACCCTTTCACAATTCAAAGATACAAAAGAAAAGAAAAGATTTCTTTAATCATGTTCCTCATTTGGTTCCTGTCTATTACTTTTGGCATTTCTGTCATTCCCTTTCAAGAGACAGAAGAAATGAATGGTCAACTGCTCTGCACATGTCGCAGCTACTCTTCTAACAGACAGAAGGTGTCATATCTTTTGCTGGAGACCCTTGCAGGTTTTGTAATCCCTTTTGTAATTCTTTGCACTTGTTATGTGTGTGTAGCCCGAAGGATAAGCAGAATGACTTACCAGTCTAAGCAGCGATCAGGCCGGCTCATTGCCAGCATCGTGGTGGCATTCATTGTGTGCTGGTTCCCTCACCACCTCTTCAACGTCCTAGATATTATTTCCATCCAAATAGAACTCTCTCATGAGGAAATGTCTTTGGCACTGGATGAAATTGTAGACAAAGGAGTGTACATCTCTGGAGCACTTGTGTTCATCAGTAGCTGTATTAACCCTCTGCTTTATGCTTTTGCTGCACGAAGATTTCAGAATCACCTGAGATTTGCCAAGATGTCAAAGCTGTTTGAGCAGATGAGTCAGACTGTGACAGAGGAAGACAAGAAAAGAAGTTTGGTTGTAAACAAACAAGAAGATGTTTTAGTAGGCACAGAAAATCTCTAACAAGGAACTCAGTGATTAATCTGTGTCATTTCTTCAGTAGTCCTTTCTCCTCATACTCTAGTTTCATTTATTAAGCAGTCCAGGGAAAGCTAGAGACAGATAAAAGCTTTTTGGTTTGGTTTTTTTCTTGTGTGCTTTATAAGAATTGGCACTGACAACCTAGTTCAGTTCATAAGTTAGTATCCACATCATGAAATAAGCATTATTTCACTGTTGCTGAGAACCTCAGCAAGGTGGATAGAAGCTCAAATTGTAAGGAATACAGCATTTTTACTTTCCATTGTATTATTTCTGATTTCTAGGAAGTCTGTGAGCAGAAAATAACTCCTTGTGGAAAGGAAAGGCTTTGAAAATTTAAAACTAAGTTTTTCTTCAGAAAAAATCGTTAGATGGTCAAAAATCCTTATATAATCTAAAGTTTTAACAGTCCATAGTTAAATTCTTGATATGGGTAAGAAGTTTTAAAGTACAATAATGACATACTCTTCTGGGTAGATGGAAAATCTAAAGCTATTTTTATTCATTATTTAGGTTTGAAAATAATATTGTTGTTTACACAGTCAAGCTCCTTTACTGCATTACTTCGTGGTAACAGGTTTGAAAAAGTCAAATGTGAAGTGTGATACATCTCCAGAAAAAACAGGAGGTATGAGAACTCTGTGTTGTGTGACAAATAGGATTACAGACTGCATGCTATATTTGATGTCAAACACATTGCATACTTCAGAGGCAATTCAACTATTGATGTATTAAATATATGTCCTCTGAGTATCCTCCAAATTTTTGATTCAGTTAAGCTTCCAAGATGTCTGTTAAATTATGGAGGAATTGGATCAGGCTTAGGTGAGAAGGAACGAGAGATCCTTGATACTATTTGTAATGTCTAAGAAAATATGGTAGCAGTACAAAGTATCTAACATCAGAAGAACTTCACCTTGCAAATAAAAGTGTTACTTTTTCTTCTCTTGTAGAATAGAGTGGACTTCACCATGAGAAACCCATAAATTTAGTACTTGCAAGGATTTTAGTTTTGTTAATGTGTGCAAACTCACTGTGAAATACTGCATGTTATCAAGTGTTTGCTTTTGAAGTTTTATTTATTTCAATTGTGCCTAACATTTTTATGCTTACTTTTCTTAATTTTTAAGTCAATAATTTGTAATAAGATCAAGATAACTACTGATTAAGAAACATATTGTAATTTCCTGTACCTTGTTCTGGACAGCTGCTAAATAGTTATGTTACTCATTCTTACAAAGAAATTACAAATACTAACTAGAACTTAATTTTCCAAGTCTGATTATGTCACAGCCGAGTATATTTAAGTTGTATTAATTTAACTTGTAGACTAAAATAAACATGGGGAAGTAAAATCCTTAGCTAATGGGAAAATATTTCTCTAAACTTTGCATATGTGTTATTCCTGCTTGTTATCAAAAAGTCATTATTTCTTCTCAATAAGAGAAAAGTCCACAGCAGAGAGAGCTTTCCTTCAATAGGATTCCTTCACTGAAATTAAAGAAAACTTTAACAAGACCTTGTTTGCAGCAAAGAGTAAGAAACAGATGAAACCCTTCAGACTTTACCCCATCCACCTCCAACTCTTTTTTCATCCCACCAATGCCTCTTTAATTGTTATTAGTACATTCAGTATAACAACATGGCATTATCTCACAAAGAAAGCAGTAACTTTAGTTCTCTACCCCATAAAAAGTGAAGTTGTATTTCCCTGTGTTCCTGAGGCAGGAGTCACTTGCTATTGAACACCCCAGCACAGGTGAGCCTGTGCCATGGGCACGGGTGAGCCTGTGCCATGGGCACAGGTGAGCCTGTGCCATGGGCAGTGAGCACTGCACTGCACTGCAGCCTGGGCCACGAGGAGCCAAGCACTGCACAACTCACGGGGGGAAGGACCCAGACAAACTTCAGTACAGGCTACCTGACCCGAATTTTCCTTTCTGTCAGTCTGTGCCCTATACCTAGCATGAATTTTCTGCCTCAATATTCAGTTCACACACTTTCTCCACTGCTTTTTACTCATAACTGTGCTATTAAAGTAAACCATGTGATCCGTTCAAGGAACTAGAGCTGTCTCTTATGTTCTCATGAATGGCCTTGGACAGCTGCCTCCAGTAGTCAGGCATCTTTCAGAACTATGTTTCTTTTGAAGGCTGTTTGAGGTGTAGTAAAAGATACTAAAACAGCAACCTTAACTTATTTCACTTTTATACAGAGCAAATAGAGTTAATTCTTGCAAATGTTGGTATGCACAGATAAAAGCCCCACCAACTTAATATTTTTGTTGCCACAACTGTAACTGAGCCCATAAGAGTCCATGTCAGCAGGTGGTGACAGTTCACTGCTGCCTCCTTTAGCAGGTGAACACCAGTGTACCAGGCCTGCTGCTCCAGCTGTGCCAGCGTGCTCTGGCACCAGGCAACAGGGACTGCAGTAGGCCCATTCAGCCACTGGACCTTCTCCTCTCCTAAAGTACTGAATCCCAGCCAAACCTAAGGTCTAGCATAGATTGGGTCCAAAATGCTGCATCTGATGATAACGATATTCATGCTTCTTGTTGGCTGCCTTACAAATCCATTTGACAGATTATATTGGAAGACTGGTAGAAAACAAAGATTTTCCTTGATTGTTCAACCTAGGTCAAAATAGTGACTATCAAAATAGAAAGTGAGATCAGTCTTGCTAGTAACTCTTGAGACACTTACTCTCCTGGAAAAAATGAGGTTTCGTGTCATTCGAGTTCCTCTTATTTTTCGTACTCACTAACTGTGCCATCCTCGTTTATGAAGTCTGCCTGTGTGCTTGCAGTGTCCAGCTATTTCTCATGACACAGCAGGGACGAAGGCTGAGCTGAGAGAAGGCCACTTCAGTCACCTGAGTCAAATCACCTCAGGTTACACTGAAATACAGGGAACATAATGGAATCAGTGCAACACTGCTTAGAACACTGAGTACTAGGAGGTGACCAGATAGTTTAAATCTGTAAAAATTAATAATCTTCTAACATTTATCTCCTAACATTAAAGTCTTACCCAGTCTGAAACTTGCTGTGAACGTTCCCTGGGTTTTCGCTGGGAATTTATCATGTTTACCGTAGTAGGATCATGCTGCTTAAAGTGAATTCATGCTGTATTCACAGGATTGAAGGAAAACCTGAAGAATTTTTAGTTCATAAATAGCCAATATACAAGAAGGATAAAAAAGATCATAAAGAAAAAGCATCAACATTACACCTTTGCTGCCTGCTGACATCAAAGCATTTCTGTAAGCATCATGGTAAAAGAGTTATATCAGATATCTGGGTTAAAACAATGGAGCTTTGTGTATATTTAGAGGCAACTGATAATTTAAGAAGTAGCACAAGGAATATGAGAGATCCTTATTTGAGGCAGAAACAGGGAAACTGCATTATACTAAAGAAATCTTTTTTTTTCTTTAACAAAACCATCAGAACATTTTCTAGGAAGAAGTAGAGCACAGTTAAGAGCCATTTTAAAGACAGTTAAGGCTATGGTTGTGAAACTCTTAGGCTTACTATTAACAGAACTAAAAGAAAGATTTGCCTGCAGTACTTGTGTGAAAGGAATAATAGAACCTGAAAGCTAACAGGTGGCACAGAAACAACATAGGAATGCAAATTCTTTCACGTTCAAGCAAGAGTCTGGTACAGAATAAATATTTTAGAAGATGCAGAATTAACAAGTATTAACAGTGGTGAAGATTTTCTCTACAGGTTTTTCTACAACTCTTGTATTACTCTCTTTTCTGCATGTATTGGGAAAGGGGAAGAGGAAGGAAAAGCTGTTGGCTCTTTTTTGAGTAGAAAAGCATGAGAAATAAGTCAGTTAAGATTATTAAGAACCATATGGACTTAGAACAAAAGTGAGAAGTTCAGCTATGAAAGCTGAGTATAAAAAGAGAACAGACAGGGAAGTGAAAGCTACTCTGTTGCAACACAGTTTCAGATTTTTGTAAATGCTTTCTTGTCAGATCAGTTAATCGCTAAAACAGTTCTTTATTAGAAAACTTCTCAGTGTGATCTGCACTGGTCGTTAATAGGTTAAAGAAAAAAATCCAGTTATACAGAGTTTAGAGACAGAAGCCTGTCCTCTGAGAGGGCGAGTGGCTTATGCTGCCCCTGTTGGCATTGAGAGTTGGGTGTGACCAGGACTATGGCCACTGGAATTTCAGAGACTTTACAACACTGTTTACAGTCCTAAGAAAGTTCTTGCACTGATAGGTGTGGAGATAAGAGAATCAGATGCAATCTGATTCCTTCATGTGTTCTTTCCCCTTAAATCAATTATTTTAAAAGTCATGCAAGTGGTTCTTAGTAAGGATTCAACATTTTAAAGCAGATTCATTTAAGTCGAAGAAAGGTTCGGGTTAGAAAAAAATTATTTTTATGGAATGTGTCAAATCAGTGATTTAAACGATGGAATTAACGAAAAAGATGCACCAGAATCTTCCAGTACAGGTTAAAGAGTCACAGCTCTTAAGTCAGGATTTTATACCTCTGCTACGACTGCAAAATCCATTTATTCTTCATTTAGTAGAAATCAGCTGTTTAAACTACAACTTGATTGCAAAAATAACTGGATACACTTCAGTTTTGGCTGCAATTGTGTAGGTACTAACAGTGAGAACTGTACTGAGACATCTCAAAACATTAGTGTGTCGTAATTATGATGTCCATAAAGTGAAGGGGATGTCCAGATGGCTTTAAATCAGAGGATTATTGGTTTAGACTGCCCCTACTAGATCTTAAAGTGAAAAAGCAGACTTTTCATTTTTGCATAGCAGATCTGTTTATGGTGTGGCACATTACATAAAAAATTCAGGGCTAAATATTTAATCTTCAGAGAATTATGAATTTGAAGCACTACTTATGGCCTGTCATCAGCCTGGTAGTGTCACCATAAAAGCGACCATAGGAAAAGAGCTGCATGAAGATCATTTCTGGTCACTGTATCAGTGATGCTGTGGGAAGGTGTGGCAGTGTGGACAATCTGAAAACAGGTTATAGATTCCGGATCTTAGCTGCACTGCATAACTTCCAAAGTTACTGTGATATTACATTCACTGTATAATTCCCTATTGAACTTGGTCAGTAGTAGCAGAAACTTAGAAGTCATGGACACTTTGTTAAGCATTGTAACTAATGAATTACATTAATGTCCATTACATTTAAAAATATAGCCAAGAAGCTTCAGCTGTTCTGTGGAAGGGAAAGTCACAGCTAAACTGAGGGAAACGTTTAGCAGGGAGGTTTTTTCCATGCCTTGCTCTCTCCTGCCACCATATGGCTTTTCCATTTAAAAAAAGGCCTAATTGTAATACCCTCCAAGTCACTGAAATGAGTGGTGAGGTACTTTGTTCCTTGTTTAAGTTGTGAACCATATTTCAGGTTCAAGTCATTGAAGCAGGAAGGTTCACAAAAAACCACAACAGTATATTAAGCATTCAAGTTCTATTCATTTCAGAGTGACCTAACTGGTCTTTTTCTTACTTTTCAGGAGC